TTAATATCACCATCACTTCTATTTGTAAAACATCGACCTTGAACTGTAATTGGTGTTGAACCAAGTTGTGATCCTCGGCGTGGTCGAAATAATAAATTTGAATTATTACTGCATCCTCCAACATTTATGCTTTCTGTATCAATACGAAAAACAAATAAACCAGGAACATTGATATTACTTATATTAACTAATCGACGAACATAAGTTGTTCGAGAATAGGGTAACATTTCAAAAACAATTCCATCTCCTGCATTAAAACCAGCTTGACCACCTATTTCATTTGATGAATAAGAATCATTAAAATAACTACTTTGAGGACTAGCCCATTGTAATTCATGATAGAGTAAAAAAGCAAAACTACGTATTTCATCTGTTACAAGTACTATTTGAAATGTATTTGTTAGATGTGTCTGTTGAGAAAAGGCACCTACTCGATACCATGTACCAGTAATAATCATCAATGGATTAAATGATCGCTCACCAGGAAAATAATCTTGAACATATCTTTTTCCCTTTTCGAATACAGAATTGTTGCTTTGACTGGCATAAATTTGATAATAAACTTTATTACCAGATGGAATATAACCTCGTGTATCTATATCAGACCAAAATCCAGCAATGAGACGACGACTATCATTAAGTGGAAATGGTGTAGGTACATATTGATATATTGGACCAAGAAATGAAAAAAGACCATTGTTAGCTAAATAAATTTGACGATGATTGTTATTAAAATAAGGAAATATTCGAGGTAATGGCAATGCATTTGTACTTTGATCATCGTTGGATGGAAATACTTCATCACCAGCCGTTGGTCCATTTGGAAAAAATTCACTTAGAGGAACAGATTCAATGACACTAATCATACAAATAACAATTAGAAATATTTTCATCATCATGAAATGTAAGATTGAAAATGAATCGTTTCTCTATGGAATTTTCTTTCTTTTTATATCCTGTCTACTTCCGCTCTTGTATTATTAAATGTATCACTTATATATGAGAACCAAAAAGAAAACAAAAACGAATCTTAAAATGCTTTCATTGGATTGCTGTCATTGTCTTGTGTCAATAGCAAATTGAAGAAAAACTTATATTCATAAGTTCAAATCAAGCAAAGAAAACACACAAAATTTCGCTGCATATGCACAAATTTGATAGAACGAAAACTGCCGAAAGTAAAAAATGTTAAAAAGGAGTATATCGAAAATGATACTCATGTTATTCGAGCGGACACTAATCATGTATACATACCTGATACAAATGCTGTTGTAGACTACTTATGCACTATTAACGAAAGACTGCTGGAGCGACATTAATATCACTTTCGATATTTTTCTTTTGGCTTTTTTTCTTCGTAGAAACTATATGCCATTCGTTTATGGTGATTTTCGAAGTCACATCTAATTTGGATAGAAAACACACAATTGTCATATGATTATAACATTTTCAAAAGAAAAATTATAAGAAATATCAACTACAATTTATTGAGTACTTATTAGTTATGTTACATTGGCTTCATGTGTTATTTCTATTTGTAAGGGTGTGGGTGTGGGTGTGGGTGTGGGTGTGGGTGTGGGTGTGGGTGTGGGTGTGGGTGTGGGTGTGGGTGTGGGTGTGGGTGTGGGTGTGGGTGTGGGTGTGGGTGTGGGTAGTGT